AACTTCTCCTAACAGTGCTGCCAACTGGAGACCCTGTGTTCAAATAGCCAAGCCTTTAGGGAGCATTCTTCATTCGACTCACAGAAGGGGGTGAGGTATGGAGAGTATGTTCAGTGTACATTAAATACTTGTATGCAAATATCCAAATTAATAAGACTGGAGATAAAAAGACATGCCAGTGAAATTCAGAAAATCACTAGGACTATTAAAGATGTAATATCAAATTAGATTAGAAAAGTAGTTGTATATAACTTACCAAAATTAAGCCATGATGATATAGACAATATAACCAGATCTATAATATGACAAGATTGAAACATTAATAAAAAATTCTCTTAACTGAAAAAAGTTCAGGCCTAGATGGATTCACTGCTGAATTCTAGACCATTAAAGACAAACTAACATTACTGTTTCTCAAGCTGTTTCATAAATTAGAAAAGAAAGGAATGCTTCCAAACTCTACTTACAAAGCCAGTACTACTGAGATGACAGAAAGGAAAATTAGAGACCAATCTCTCTGATGAAGAAAGATACAGAATTTCTTCATAAAAGACTTGTAAACTCAATCCACAAACACATCAAAAAGTTCATTCATCATGGTCACATTGACTTAATCAGGAGATTCTGGGATGGTTCAGTATGAACAAAGCAATAAATGTGATAGGAGATAAATAGACTCCCATCCAAGTACTAACCAAGACTGACTCTGTTTAACTTCTGAAATCGGATAGATTTGGTTGAGCACATTCATTGTGAACTGTGTGAGCTATACTAATGGCCAGCTTGTTAAGACATTCTCACTGATGCAGGAGTGGCACAAATGGCATGGGAGGAACCAACCACATTCTGATTGGATCCACTGCCTGCTCCACGTGATGAGCCCATATGTGGCACTGTTATCTGGGCCAAGAACCTGTGACTAGTGAGGTCCTAGGTCCTAGGGGAGAACCTACTGCTGTTAACAAAACAATTGTTAAATGGGCATATTATCAAAAAAACTCCTAGTGGCTTATTGTTGTACCCATAGATTAGTGCATCTCTCAACCCCAGAAGGAAAAGCTTCTTTTGCTAGTGCATGGTGATTAACACAGATATCCACAACTAGCCCAGGTGCAGAAAAATTAGATACTGTGGAATGCTCAGCCCTAAATGTGACTTCTGTATCACATACCCTCCTCACAAAGATCAGGAATTGGTTGTGGAAGAGGGGGAGGAAAGATTCTAAGAGCCAGAGGTGGTTGATGACTTCAAGTAAATAATGTTTTCTGGACATAACAGGGCAGTTGTACATATGAACTCAACAATGGTTATGATAGCATGAACAAGACCTATGTAAGCTCAAGCAGACAAAATCCCAGCATGCAGAGGGGAGATGAGCACAAAGCCCCACTCTTAGCTGTGTGGTGATTGGAGGTGATAACTTCTAGGAAAAGGAAAGTCAGTTTTATTTAAGGATGTGGCCCCTGATAGGTCAACCATGCTCCAGAAGGGTGGCCAGACACCCAAGAGTATATGAGCAAATTGGACTAAAATGGGTTGAAAGGGGAAGACAGAAAGTGGGTGGGTAGGGAAGCAGAGTGGATCAAGAATGAGTTGGAAGCAGAGGGATGAATATGAACAAAATGCACTTTTTATAATTCTCAAAGAACACATACAAAAGTGAGCAAAATAGAAAAAAATAAATGGACTCAAGAAAAATCACATGATTGTTTTTTTCAGTAGATGCAGAGAAGACTTTTAACAAAATCCAGTATCTCTTGGTGATAAAAGCCTTGAGGAGACTAGAATAGAAGGAACTTATCTGAACATGAGAAAGACTGTGTGTGTGTGTGTGTGTGTGTGTGTGTGTGTGTGAAACCTGGAGCCAGAATCACAGTACATGGGGAACAACTCAAATCAGGGACAAGACAAATGTCTCTACTTTCTCTACTTTTATGCAATATAGTGCTTCAGATCTTACCTAGGGTGGTAAGATAAGAATAAAATAAGGGAGACAAACAGGAAAAGAAGTCAAAGTAACCTTATTTGCAGATGACCCGATTTTATACTTGAGACCCTAAAGTTTCCACGAGAAAATTCTTAAGCTGATGAACACATTCAGCCAAGTGGCAGAGTAGAAAATTAGCATTTAAAAGTCAGCCTTTCTGTGTACCAATAACAAATAACCTGAGAAAAAATCTGGGAAACAACCCCATGTATAGTTGCCTTAAAAGGGGGCAGGGGTGTGTCATATGAACTCAGGAGGAAGAGGCAGAGGCAGGTTTCTTGAGTTTGAGACTAGGCTGGTCTGCATAGAGTTTGAGATGAGTTAGGGCTGTGTAGTGAAACTCTTTCTCAAATAAATAATAAACGAAACCCTTTAGAATAGACCAAGGAATAAGACCTCTACAGAAGAAACAAAAAAGACACTTAAAACTCTTAAGCTTGTGGATTGGAAGAATTAATATAGTGGAAATGGTTAGCCACTATCAAAATTCCAACATTCTTCACAGAAATAGGGAAAAAAAGTTTCATGGAAGCATATTCAGAGACCCATACCCAAACATTAGGTGGAGCTCGAGGAGCATGAAGCAAGAGGGGAGGAAGGATTGTAGGAGCCAGAGTGTTGAGAACACCAGAACATGACCCACATAATCAACTAAGCAGAGCTCATAGGGGCTCACAGAGACTGAAGGGACAGTCATGGAGCCTGCATGAGTGTGCACATATTATGATTGTTTAACTTTGGTTTTTTGTGGGACTCCTAACAGTGGGAGTTGGGGGTATCTCTGACTCTTTTTTTTTAATTATTATTATTTTTTTTTCATGACAGGGTTTCTCTGTGTAGTTTTGGTGGCTGTCCTGGAACTCACTTTTTAGACCAGGCTGGCCTGGATCTCACAGAGATCTGCCTGCCTCTGCCTCCCGAGTGCTGGGATTAAAGACATGCTCCACCACCACCCGGCTGTATCTCGGACTGCTCTTGGGACCCTTTTTGTCCTACTAGGTTGCCTCGTCCAGCCTTGATATGAGGGTTTGTGCCTAGTCTTATTGAATTTTGTTATGCAGTATGCAGTTGCTATCCCTGGGAAATGGAGGAGCAGTGGATCCAGGGGAGAGGGGAAGTGGGTTGGTGGGTGGGAATTGGGAGAAGTGGAAGGAGGGGAAACTGCAGTCTAGATGTACTGTATGAGAGAAGAATAAATAAAAAGAAAAAAAAGTCTTAAAATTTGTATGGAAGCACAAATGCCTTGCCCTTGTTCCTTGTACCTGACTTAAGCAGCTTAAGAAAGGAAGGGGTTCTTCTGGCTCACAGTCCGGGGGACAGTCTGTCATGGTGGCGAAGTCACATTGGCAGGAGCTAGAAGCAGCTGAGCACACTGCATCCACATTCCAGGGGCAGAGAACAGGCCTGTGGGGTGACTCTGTAGGCAAAGGTGCTTCCTGCCAAGCCTGATAACCTGATTTCAACCCCCAGGAACCACAGCGTGGTAGGAGAGAACTCAGTCACGAAAGTTGTCTCGTGATCTCCACATGTATACATGGCATTGGCATGAGCATGCCCCCCTCACATAAACTAAATAAAAATATGTTAAAAAAAAAAAAAAGCTGGGCAGTGGTGGTGCACACTTTTAATCCCAGCACTTAGGAGGCAGAGGCAGGTGGATATCACTGAATTCAAGGCCAACCTGTTCTTCATATCGAGTTCCAGGACAGCCAGGACTGTTACACAGAGAAACCCTGTTTTGAAAAACAAAAACAAAAATAAAAAACAAACAAACAAAAACCTAATCAGAGAGCAGTGAATGCCTGTGCTCAGTTTATTTTCTTCTTTTTGTTCAGTCAGGAACCCAGCCCGTAAGAATAGTGCCACCCACATTTATGTTGGGGTCTTCCTATCTCATTTAGTTTAATCTACATAATCCTTCCCAGGCATGCCTATAGACATATTTCCTGTGTGATTTTAATGCCTGTCAAGATGACAATATTAATGATTACAGATACTAATTCAGTTTGTTAATGTTTCACCTTTAGGATATTATCAGCTCCCAAAGGCCCTGTCTTCTAATACATGGGATCTGCATTTCAATATAGGTATTGGGGCACAGCAAGCCCCTAATTTTTGGGCCTCTAAATTTGAGCTACATGGGAAAGCTTTTGTGGTATTTTATCTGCTGAACTTTGTTTTGTCATTGAGGTTTGAACCCAGGGCCTTTACTTGTTGGGCAAGTGCTGTATCACTGAACTACTCCCTCAGTCCCATACCTTGACGTAATCATATTTTAAACTAACAAGTAGAGAATATTTTTAAGAGAGTTCTTGCCTCTTGTGTCTGTGCTGTCTGTGTAGTGTATGCACACCAGTGTGAAGGTGTGTGTGCCTGTACCTGTGTATGTGGAGATCAGAGGAGAATGTCAGGCACCTTATTACACTGCTTTCTACCTTGTCTTGAGAGAGGGTCTCTCACTGAACCAGACACCTGCCCTTTCAGCTAGGCTGCTGGCAAGGCAGCTGTTGCTGGGATCTACCTTTCTCTGTCTACCAGGGGCTATGGCCACTTGCAGACATGCCTGGCCTTTCACGTGGATGCTGTCTTCATTCTCATTCAGCAGGTGTCTTACTTAAAGGGTTGTCTCCCAGGCCTGGGCCTTTGTCCATTAATAGATGCCTCCATCAGTATTGTCCTGCTAGTACTGATTTGCTTGGATTATCGGCATCTTCTGTCATTCTCCCTCAAGTTGTATATTTAGGTATCATTTTCACATGTTTGGGGGAGATTAAGACCCTTACATAGATTCACCACTGATTGTATTTTCTTTGTAATTTCCACCTATTTGTCTTACTTTCCTTGAGGCTGGGGACTAGGCATCCAGTCAGCCAGTGTCTGTGCATCTCATTTCCTGGATGGCTCCTTTTTCATTTTATCAAGTGTTTAAGAGAAATGCTTTAACTGTTTGTCCTGTATTAGAATAATTGCTCAGTTTTAATTTTAAATTTACTTTCTAAAAATGGCTTTACAGGTTGGAATTCGAGGAACTAATATAGTTGTGCTTGGGGTGGAAAAAAAATCAGTGGCCAAGCTTCAGGATGAAAGAACTGTGAGGAAAATATGTGCCCTTGATGACCATGTCTGCATGGCTTTTGCAGGTATGCACAGACGTCCAGTGGTGTGGACGGGATTGTAATGTAGTGAGCTGGATAACACAGCTGTCCTACTGCCCGTTTTGCTCGGTTTACACAATGTATGCATTCATTCCCTGTTTCTGTCCAAATAGTGTCATGGATATTTAAAAGGCCACAGCTCTGTCAACTGGGACTTCTTATTGTCTTAGTTAGGGTTTCTATTGCTGTGAAGAGACACCATCACCACGGCAACAGGGAAACATTTAGTTGAGGGGGCTCACTTACAATTGCAGAGGTATAGTCCATTATCATCATAGTGAGACATTGGCTGCATGCAGGCAGACATGGTGCTGGAGGAGCTGAGAGTTCTACATATTGATCCGCAGGAAGCAGAAGCAACTTGTGCCACACTGGGTGAAACTTGAGCAAAGGAGACATCAAAGGCCACCCCCACGGTGACACACTTCCTCCAACAAGGCCACTCCTACTCCAACAAGGCCACACCTCCTAATAGTACACTCCATATGGGGGCCATTTTCTTTCAAACCACCACACTTATAATGATCTTTGATAATAAAGCACAAATGTAAAGATAGATTTCTCCTTACTTATAACTTATAGAACTTAAAATTCATAGAATTTATAGAATTTTTAAAGATTCTATTTACTTGTTTTTATTTGTATTATATGTATATGTATGTGGGTTTCTGCATGTAAGTGCAGGTCCCTGCAGAGGCCAGAAGAGGTTGTCAGCTTCCCTGCAGCTGGAGTTGTGAGCTGTCTGACATGGGTGTAGGTAACTGAATTTGGTGTTGTGCAAGAGGAGTATGACCTCTTAATTGGTGAGCCATCTCTTCAGCCCCAGTTTGGGAAAAAGGGGGAGGGAGAGAGGAAGGGATGCATTTGTGTATGCTGGGCTACAGATTAGCCTCTTACATGCTAAGTCTCATCTTCTTAAACTGTGGGTGTGTTACATTTGTTTAACTCTGTGAAGCTGTGTTACTTTGCCTGTCTAAAACACCTGATCATCTAATAAAGAACTGGACGGCCAATAGCAAGGCAGGAGAAAGGATAGGCAGGGCTGGCAGGCAGAGAGGATAAATACAAGGAGAAATCTGGGAGGGAAGAAGGGAGTAGCCAGAGAAAGAGGAGGACATCAGGGCCAGCCACCCAGCTACACAACCAGCAATGGAGTAAGAAAGAAAGGTATACAAAAATTGAGAAAGGTACAAGTCCAGAAGCAAAAGCTAGATGGGATAATTTAAAGTTAAGTAAAGCTGGCTAGCAACAAGCCAAGCTAGGGCCAGACATTTATAATTAAGAATAAGACTACATGTGTGATTTATTTGGGAGCTAGGTGACAGGCTCCCCAAAAGAGCCAAAAGGCACATGAAAAACAGAAATTAACTGAGAATAAAACAGATAAGGGTGAGAGCTACCTTTGGAAGTGCTTGCCTGTATTGCATGGGACAGCTCTGCAGACTTGGATGTGAAGACACGTGAACATACATGCATTTGCACTGTGCATGTCACCAGCCACCACCACCATTACACTGAAGCACCTGAGCGTGCATATATATATGCAAGGCTTTTTACACTTGTGGTAGCATACATTATGGAAAAGAAAGACAATATTTTCTACCACCATTCCTCAAAATGTATCACATTAGTGTGCCTTTGAATTGTATGTGTTAGAATGTTTGGTTTTAAAAGTTGTTTGAAAGGTTGAGTTGAGTTTCGTTAAAAAAAAAAGTCATTCAATGAATTTAGTTTAGTTCATGTGGTTTGGATAAGAAGGACCCCCTATAGGCTCATATTTTTGAATGCTTGGTTGTCATGGAGTGTCACTACTTGAGGAGGATTATGAGACGTGGCTTTGTTGGAGGGAATATGCCACTGACAGTAGGTTTTGAGGTTTCAAAAGTGTAGTTGGAAGTGTTTTCTGGTCCTGCCTGGCCCTGTTGGACAAATCTCTCCCTCCTGTGTCTTGTAGCTGCTTGATCCAAGTAAACACACAGAGGCTTATATTAATTATAACTGCTTGACCATTAGCTCAGGCTTATTACTGACTAGCTCTTACACTTAAATTAACCCATAATTCTTATTTATGTTTAGCCACGTGGCTTGATACCTTTTCTCAGTTCTGCCTTGTCATCTTGCTTCCTCTGTGTCTTGCTGGTGACTCCTGACTCAGCCTTCCTCTTCCTGTCTCTTTCCTGGATTTTCTGCCTGGCTATAACCTGACTTGCCATAGGCCAAACAGCTTTATTTATCAACCAGTCAAAGCAACACATATTCACAGCATGGAGAAAGACATCCCACAGCACAAAAGCCCATGCCAGGCCCAGTCTCTCTCTGCCTCTCTCCCTAAGGATCAGGGTATAGCTCTCAGCTACTGCTTCAGCACTTGCCTGCATGATGCCATGCTCCCCATCACCATGATAACTTACTAAACCTCTGAAACTGTAAGCAACTCCTCAGTTAAATGCTTTCTTTTATAAGAGTTGCCTTGATCACAGTGTGTCTTCCCAGCAATAGAACACTGTACTGTCTTAGTTATAGTCAGCACAGAATTTCCAATTATACCTGAAATTACTTTAAATAGATATCTGTCATTTTGTTCTATGTATTTATATGAAATTGCATTCTCAGCATTGATAGTTAGAAAATCAAGGTATCGATCAACTCTGAAAAGGGCTAACATTGCTCTATGGCCCACAGTTATTCAGCCAAGACTTGTTTGCATGAAAATAAACAAAACAGCTATCTCTCATTAGTATGCAGATTTGCTTTATTTTAATAATAAAATTATATGTTTAACAAAGAATTGTTGTCAGTAAAGATTGGTTTGTGTACTTGTTTTATATATCTATATATCTGGGTCATGTAAAAATTTCTCTGGTAAAAAGGTGTGTCATCAGTGGGAAAAGTTTTAAGAAGCCCTATGCCAGGCAAGCACTCTACCATTGAGATACTCATTGTGTATCACTTGTGTGTATCTGCATGTGTGTGTGTGTGTGTGTGTGTGTGTGTGTGTGTGTGTGTGTGCCTGTGTTTGTGCATGCACATGTGTTTGCATGCATGTGGAAGCTCGAGGTTGATATTGGAAATCTCCCTTTATTACTTTTCCATCATATCTTTTTTGCATGCCTTTGATCCCAGCACTCGATAAGCAGAGGCAGGTGGGTCTCTGCAGGCTCAAGGCCAACCTGGTGGTCCACATAGTGAGTTCCAGACCATTCAGGGCTCTGGAATCAGCTTATGTTTGCTTCCTCCAGCACTAGGGTTACAAAGATTCCTACCTGTGACCAGCTTTCATGTGGATGCAGAGAGCTTAACTCAGATCCTTATGCTTGTGATGCAGGTGCTTTGCAGCTGAACCATTTCATGTCCCATAATAATTTGTAAGTTTTATAGATAAAGAGTCATGACGGGTGGTGGTGGTGCACACCTTTAATCCCAGCACTCAGGAGGCCGAGGCAGGTGGATCTCTGTGAGTTTGAGGCCAGCCTGGTCTACAGAGTGAGTTCCAGGACAGCCAGGGTTACACAAAGAAACCCTGTCTCAAAACAAACAAAGGAACAAACAAACAAACAGTCATGAGAAATTGCTAAGAAACAGAGAAGTCTTTTATATTTCCCCAGTTTCCCTCAGTGATACCATCCTTAAACCATCAAGTCTGTATTTGCACCAGCCAGTGTGAAACTGCTGAGATTCCAGCAGCTTTGTATGCATTCATTTACATGTGCATGCAATGCCTAGCAGTAGTGTGTTGTAGGAATGCACCACCTTTAACAGCTGGGCCACTGCAGGGTGTTTGGGCCCCTTCCAGTTTTGTACATTACAGATAAGGTATGGACCTTTGTGTGCATGTGTTTGTGGGAGCAGAGGTCTCATTTCTCTAGAAGAGGTACTTTCAGGAGTTTGGCTGTACTTACTCCACCTATAGATTCGTGCTGTTCCTACTGCATTCAAGACCCAACTCCTCCTTTAACTAATCCTCCTCATGCTAGTCCTTTCCCCTTTTCTAACCTGCCAGCCACTAATCTATCTGTTTCTGTAGTCTGTCATTTTGAATCTTGTATGAATGAAATAGCACGTGGAACCTTTTCAGACGGTCCTTGTTCATTCTGCATCATTCTTCTGCAGTCACCCAAGTTGTCAGGTGTGTCAGGAGCGGCTTTTGCTTTTATTGTTGGGTAGTGCTGCATGGTGTGAACGAGCCACTCTTGTTGTTGGGTAGTGCTGCATGGTGTGAACGAACGAGCCAGTCTTGTTGTTGGGTAGTGCTGCATGGTGTGAACGAACGAGCCAGTCTTGTTGTTGGGTAGTGCTGCATGGGGTGAACGAGCCAGTCTTGTTGTTGGGTAGTGCTGCATGGTGTGAATGAGCCAGTCTTGTTGTTGGGTAGTGCTGTATGGTGTGAACGAGCCAGTCTTGTTGTTGGGTAGTGCTGCATGGTGTGAACGAGCCAGTCTTGTTGTTGGGTAGTGCTGTATGGTGTGAACGAGCCAGTCTTGTTGTTGGGTAGTGCTGTATGGTGTGAACGAGCCAGTCTTGTTGTTGGGTAGTGCTGCATGGTGTGAACGAGCCAGTCTTGTTGTTGGGTAGTGCTGCATGGTGTGAACGAGCCAGTCTTGTTGTTGGGTAGTGCTGCATGGTGTGAACGAGCCTCTATGTTAACAGGTTGTCTACTTATCTTTGGACCCTCCTAGTTTTTGCTTTTTATAGATAAATGTGAACGTTTGGGGTAGGTTTCTATGGGAATGTGGGGTTTCATTTCTTTGGAATAAAAACAGTAGAGTTGCTGGGTTGTGTGGTAATATAGCTTTAGTGTCGAAACACTGCCAAATTGTAGAAGTGGCTGTATTGTTTTACATTCCCACCATCACTATGTGAATGATTCAGTTTTCCTGCATACACAGTAGCATTTGATTTTGTTGCAATTTTTTGACCATTCTTTTAAGTCTGCAGTGATTTCTGACTGTGGATTGAACTTATGTTTCCTCAGGACTGATGATACTGAATATATTTTTCCATGCATATTTGCCTTTCTACACCGAATAAAACATGTTCCTGCACTCTGCATGGCTTGACACCTTAACCTGACTAAAGGGACCAAGGGAATGAAGAAAGGACAGAGACATACATGGGGTTGGTGTGCTGTGTGCTGTGAGAGAGCCACACTAACCACTGTAGCCTGGAACCTCAACACAGTTGTTATGGTGGCACAGGGGGAGGAATCGGCTGCTCTCAGTAGGAGGTGTCTATAGCAGAACAGTCTCCAGCTGTAAACATATGGAGGAAGCTGCATTTGCTAGTCTTTGCATACACTAGCCTATTGTTCCTAAACAATCCCACCTGCCCATACTGGCAACATTTATATTTGGACCAGAGGAAGGCTTTGCCATCACTCTGAGCCTGACTTTGGAGGAAGGCTATGCCAATATCCATGGGTCTGAGGCATTGATCCTTGACATAGCCATGCAATACACATTCATTCAGGACTCCCATTTTCTCTATATATATTCACCCAAGGCATCCAATTCCCAACAACATGTCTCATCATTTTTTTGGCTCAGTTTCTAATTTTTTTTTAAACAGGGATTTTATATTGACACTTAAAATACTCATTCAGCAAAGAACCTTTATCCTGTTGTGCCTTGTAATGGTCACAAATCAATTCTTGACAAATCTAAAAGATTGAAATCATATTTAATATCTTTTCTGCTTAAAATGGAATGAAATCAAAAATCAATAGCTGAAGGCAAACTTAAAATGCATAAATATATATCAATTAAACAATGTAGTTCTAAACTGCCATGGAGAAGACAAACAAACAAGTAAAGAGCCACCATAAGTGAAATTGGTAAACATCTTGAGGGAACTAAGGATGAGCATCGACAGCATCAAAACGTATGGGATGTATTTAAAACAGTGCTAAGAGGGAATTGGAGTAAACACTGACTCTTTTTATGAACAGCTCCTGTATACTGCAAATGCAGAACAGAGTAAACCCAAAGCCACCGTCACACCTGAGATAAACAGAACAGAGAGATAATAGAAAATTAAAACAAAAAGTGATTTTTGAAAAGGTGAACAAAATTAAGAAACTAAATAAAACTATTTCTCGATTAAAATGAGAAATGAAAATGGGTCATTGCTTCTCCTTGCACAGAATCCAAAGGGTTTAAGAGAATATATGTACCATTAAGTGCCAACAAAATTCCTTGAAGCACACAAATTACCTAGTTATTCAGAAGACAGCTCAACAGATGTCTGAAGATGATGACTCTGTTTCCACATTACTAGGAAATGCAGGTCGAGGGGAGAACTACTTGATTACATCAACTGATACAGAAAAAATACATTTGGTATCATTCAGTACTCTTTCTTAGTTAAAAAGAAACACAACAAATTAGAAATACACCTCAGCACAATTAAGCTGTATGTGATATCTTAGGGTTTCTATTGCTGTGAAGAGACACCATGACCACAGCAACTCTTATAAAGGAAAACTTTTAACTGAGGTGGCAGCTTACAGTTTCAGAGGTTTAGTGCGTTATCATCATGGCAGGAAGCATGGAGGCTGGGAGTATGGTGGTGTGTAGGCAGACGTGGTGCTGGAGATTTCTGCATCCTTATCCAAAGGCAACAGGAAGTGAACTGAGACACTGGGAGGTAACTTGAGCATATATGAGACCTCAAAGCCCGCCTCCACAGTAACATACTTCCTCCAGGGCCACACCCACTCCAACAAAGTCACACCTCCTAATAGTGCCACTCTTTTGGGGGCCATTTTCTTTCAAACCACCACATGTGAAATAGTCAGTTGATGTATTCGTTGGTGAACAACTGACACTTCACCACTAGAGTCGGGAACAGGCAAGGGCACCTGCTGTATCATTGCCATTCAGTATAGTAGTGCATGTTCTACCTGAGTAATTAGTCAAGAGTAAGAAATAAAACAGCCCAACTGTTCAGAAAGAAATGAAAATCATCTTTGATCACAGGAAGCATAATCTCATATGTAGAAAACCCTACAGGATCTATGAAAAATTGCTAGACATATTGAGTTGAAATGGTATTTGGAATGAGATGGCAGATTAACAAACAGGTCTCTCAGCCAGGTGTGGAGGCACATGCCTTTAATCCCAGCACTCGGGAGGCAGAGGCAGGCAGATCTCTGAGTTTGAGGCCAGCCTGGGCTACAGAGCCAGTTCCTGGACAGCCAGGGCTACACAAAGAAACCCTGTCTCAAAAAAAAAAAAAGGGGGGGGCGAGAAAGAAAAAGAAACTCTCCATGTGGCCCCAGGAGTAAGAATAGTAGGAGTTATAAACATCATTCAGGAAAGAGAGAAGGACACCAGGAATCATAAAGAGATGCTAGAGTGCAAAGAGCAACAATGCCCAGGGAAGTAGGAAACAGCTTGCCTTCCAGCCCAGCTGCTGGAGCTCAGGGAACTGAAACCACAATCACCAGGCAAGTCACAGTGTCCTAGTGACATGGAACAAGAACACTGTTTTCACAAGTGTTAAATCTAGCAGGGGATTTGGCATGACCTTAACATGTGTAGCCTGCCAGCACCAAGTCAAAGTTGATTTTGCTATGTCTGTGCAGCAAGCATTCACCTGTGGAGCCACCTCCCCAGCCCACTCTAAGCATTTTAAAGTTAACCTTCCTCTAGCTGTGGACCATATTCACACAGCAAGGAGGACGCATCTCATGTAGCTTATCTGAACTATTTCAGTTTCATAAAACGATAACCCAGGGCGAGATTAGGCCATTGCTAGCTAGTCCTTTCTCTTAGATAACTAGTGTACAGAGAATTACTCTCTCTTCCCTTAATCAGTTCACACCTGACCTGTGTCAGGGTGATTTAAACCAGGGCATATCAGACAGCTCCATTTTCTGCCTGCCTTCCTGTTTCAAGGGGTGAGGATCCAAGTGTATGTAACAACAGGGTTTGACATGATGGGGAAGGTAGATGCTTGTGATGGGAAAAGAACAATGGCTAAGTGAGAAGTGCCTGTTTCCAACATGTTTGTGTGAATTTGGGGTACAGTCTAGTTAGTGCTAAAGGAGTAATGGAAAGGGTCTGGAGAGGTGGCTCAGCAATTAAGAGTATGCAGTACTTTTACAGAGACTTGAGTTTGTTCCCAGCAGCCGTACCAGACAGCTCACGGCTGCTTTTAAATCTTTTTAAAAAACGTGGTGAAAGAAGCCAAATGGCTGTAGAGCTGTCAAATACCAGTGTCATCCTTGATTTGTACAAACAATCAATCTGTCAGTTACATGCTGCAATAAGAACACATACTGTCTCCTTATAGACAGGCTGAGAATTGTTTGGATGAAGGTTTTGGCTATTTCAGAAGCTCAGTCTTAATATCCTTGATTTTCAAAGTTTTCATTTTGACAAAAAATTGAGAAGTGGTATGTCCCGGTTTTATCAAGTGTAATTTGAATTCAAAGTGGTTGTACTTCAGGACAGAGTACTGTCCTTGCTCTCATAAGGAAAAAAAATGCAGTAGTGTTGAAACTAAGCCATTTACTATTTCCTTTACATGAAGCAGGGATGTGTGAAACCAAGTCTTTAAAGGAAATGCATCACAGTGAAGGCCCATGGCATTTTCTAGTTCTTTTTGGAGGTGGTGTGGAAGAGAAGGGATGCCATAAGAAAGAATTGGTAACTAAAACCTTTTGACAAGGAAAATGCAGGTTGAGACATGTATAGACTTTTAAGTTTGGATTGTTTTTCCAGGTCTGACAGCTGACGCTAGGGTAGTGATAAACAGAGCACGGGTCGAGTGCCAGAGCCATAAGCTTACGGTGGAGGATCCAGTCACTGTGGAGTACATAACTCGCTTCATAGCAACTTTAAAGCAGGTGAGCAGAGACTCTTAACACAATTTCTATTTTCCACTGTCATTGGCCCTGTCATAGAAATACTGCAATAGCTCCAAGCATTTAGTCTCCTGTGTTAAATTCCTTATTCAGTCTCAGAATTACTTCATTCGCTTGTTTGGGTAAAGTGGGTTTCGTTAATCACCAGAAATCAAAATCAGTTTCAATTCTTGGAGTTCTACATTTTTTAAGAGTGTCAAATTTTCAAAGGAAATTTTTATACTTGTAGAAACACAACAAAAATATCATTCCTTAAAGTTTTCCAAAGAAATATACATTAGTTCACCTGCAAACCAAAATACCCCTGATCAGGTTTAGCTCTGTTCTCTTCTGATCCACACATCGCCATATCATTGAAAGCCAAGCGTGGCTGTGCACACAGGGCTGAGTTTTCACTTGCTGTGTGCAGACTGTCTGTGTGTGTGGTGGCGCAGCCTCCTTCCTGGACCTTCTCTGTAATGTCAGAAACTGTGCCCATCTCTGATGGGCATCTGTCTTTCTTACTCGTCTTCCTGCCACCCTCACATCACTCTGTTTTGGTTATGGCTTGTTTTTAAACCGAGTTTTAGTGGAGGGTCCAGGTTGGACATTAGAGTTGAGTGGGAGGCTCTTACTGCATGTGCCAAACTGCTTTCCTAGAAAGATCGGACCAGTTTTCATTGTGCGACCAGCTGTCCCGAAGGAGTCTTCAATGGAGTTTTTCCTTTTTCTTTCTTTTGTGAGTGAGTGCTGTGTAACGTAACAGCTGCTTTGCGTTTTACAGTTAGTGAGATTGAATTTCCCACGTCTTGGTCCACTCTTCATTTCTGCTTGTGCAAACTGTCCTTCAACAGAAACATTGTTTTTTCCACCTAACCTGTACAGAATGCTCACTGTACAGATTTGTGTCACTTTATCTTCTCTTTAAAACATATTTTTTTATTACACTGACTTATTCTGGGGGGCGGGGCCTGTGTCACAGTGCACACATGGAGGACAACCTGCAGGTGGGTCCTGGTGACAAAACTCAGGTCAGGCTTGGCAGCAAGCATCTCACCAGGAGCTGTCTCACCAGGCCTACATTCCCCTTTCAACCCTGTTTCTGGATTTAAAGATACTCATGGAGATATATATGGTATATTGAGTAAATTCCTCCATGTCTGTCCTACCCACTGCCCCCCACCCCGTAATCCCATTTGTTCCTCTACGCACTTTCTCTCCCACTTTCATATCATGTACATACATGACTCTATGTGTTTATATAAAACATGAGCCAAAAAGAAGAGAAATGTATCATTCTGTCTTTGAGACTAGCATAAGTCACTTAATATGACTGTTTCCAGCTCCATTCATTATCCTACAAAAGACATGATTTGGTTCTTCTCTGTAGTTAGGACATTTTGTGTGCACGCATACCGTATTTTCTGTTAAGAAACAGTTCTTAAGAGTATTCTGAAAGAGCTGTAACTTTAAAGTTGAATCCCGCTCTTCTCTATCTTACTGCCTTTACTGTTCCTTTGCATCTCCTCACACGAGCATGCGTGGTAGCTGCACCTGCTCTCTGGCCTTCACCTCCGGCTGCTCTGGCAGAGCAGGTACCCTGGTTCTGCATAGAGATTTTTTTCATAGACTCTTTGTAAATCCAAATACTAAAGTTTTGAGATGAATAATATATATCAAATCACTCTGTTTTTAAAAGCTTTGATACTTCAATTTAGAAGATACTCCAGAATTTTTGTATTGCTACTTTTGTATTTTGTTTCAATTTTCCCAGTTGTTAAAAAGGAATCTACCAAAAAAAGCAAGACACAGAGCAGCTTACACACAAAGTTCTTAAGTGTGGTTCTTAAGGTCTCTTCTGGAGAAATCAAGACTTTGAATAGACTGTGGAAACGCAGTTTAAGTCTGTGACAGTGAGATTGCCGCTGGGGAGGATTGGGCCTCTGGGCCAGAGATAGCACATGTTCACCTCACACGTTTACCTTTGTTTATATGACCTTTTCACTAAAATGAAAAGACTGAACAAGTATGTTAAAAGGTCTGTCTTCTAAGATAATATATACATGCATCTACTTTAGACCTCAGTGCAAACTAGAAACATTAGACAGTACAGAGGAATTAAATATAACCCCTATTTTAAAAAAAGATATTTATGTTCATAGCTCAGCTGTTTGCATTCAAAATCAAACTTTGCTTGCAAAACATGAAATATAATAAACTTGAAAAATGAGAAAATAGATTCTATATGTAGATAAGACTGAAAGAAAGTCACTAAAAAGCTGTTTCAACCACAGAATTATACAGAGCTACATCCAGCCACAGAGTTAAGTAAAGTTACCTATGTATTCAGTCCTTAGCTTTCTGTCAGGGCTGCCTCTTCATAGGACAAGTCTCAGTGAGAATGGCACTCTTCGGAGCACAAATTCAGGAAGTTCCCTGTTATGAAAGTAATAAGAAATATAATTGGTTTCAGTGTTACATTGTCTGTGGGGGAAATGTGTGTGAAATAAAAGATCCCTTTTCTTTGGGACTGAAGGAAATAACACAGTGCACAGTGAACAGAGCATATTTGATGCAATATTATCAAGTAGGAGTAGTCCCCGACAGTAACTGCAGTGTCCCTCAAGGCAAACAAGGCTGTGCTTCCAAAGCACAGCTCATTAACTCAGCTTCCCTGACAGCAAAACAAATGCCCAGTCCTCTGCTGGGTCACAGAGATTGTACTGTCTTAGTTATGCAATGAAGAGACACCATGAGCATGGCAACTCTTATTAAAGAAAGCATTTGATTGGGGCTAGCTTACAGTTTTAGAGACTTAGTCCATTGTCATTATGGTGGAGAGTACACAGTACTCTCAGTACACAGGCAGACATGATGCTGGAGAAGTAGCTGAGAGTTCGACACCCTGATCTGCAGGAAGCAAGGAGAGAGAGAACTGGGGCTGGCATGGACTTCTGAAACCTCAAAGCCTCTCCTCCAGTGTCACACTTTCTCCAACAAGGCCACGCCTATTCCAATAAGGCCACATCTCCTAATTGTTCCCAAATAGTGCCATTCTCTGATGACTAAGCATTCAAATGTGTTAGCCTATGAGGACCATTCATATACAGAGCAGACAGAACACATTTTAAGACCATACTGGGTGGGTGGGGCGAAGAATAAAAGGAATTTACCATGAAAGTAGCAGAGGGAAGGAAGGCACCCAGGACAAGGAAGAGGGTAGGGGAGTGGGAGCACTGTGGGCAAAGGGATGAAAATGACCTAATGAAGCACATTAGTTTGTATGTTAACCTAAAATTTTCATTTAAAAATGGGAAACGCTGGGCGGTGGTGGCGCACGCCTTTAATCCCAGCACTTGGGAGGCAGAGGCAGGCTGATCTCTGTGAGTTCGAGGCCAGCCTGGACTACCAAATGAGTCCCAGGAAAGGCGCAAAGCTACACAGAGAAACCCTGTCTCGAAAAAAAAAAAAAGGGAAACAATAAAAGTTCAGTAAAGAGCCGGGCAGTGGTGGCACACACCTTTAATCCCAGCACTCGGGAGGCAGAGCCAGGCAGATCTCTGTGAGTTCGAGGCCAGCCTGGGCTACCAAGTGAGTTCCAGGAAAAGGCGCAAAGCTACACAGAGAAACCCTGTCTCGAAAAACCAAAAAAAAAAAAAAAAAAAAAAAAAAAAGTTCAGTAAAGATCTTCTAAGAAAAATAAGATTTATAAACAAATTTGTGATTATACTTTACAGATTGTATACATTCATTACTTTAAAATGTCATCATGAATTAACAATAGTCAAGAAACACTAAAAAATGTATACAATAAAATCAGAAAAGTAGGGACTGGAGAGATGACTCAGTGGTTAAGAGCACTTACTGCTCTTCTAGAGGACTGGAGTTTGGTTCCTAGCAGTTCATAACTACCTGTAACTGCAGCTCCAGGTAGTGCTGTGCACCCTGGCCTCTGAGGGTCCCTCACATGTACATTCCCACATGAACACACACATATACAGAATTAAAAATACTGAAAATATTTTTTAAAAAAGAATCAGAAGAGTAGATAATTTTGATGCTTTATTTACTAGAATTTTATCTGATAAGTGTCAGGTGTTTTGTGGTGATTTGAATAAGAATGGCCTCCATAGGCTCACAGATAAAAAAGCATAGTCACCAGGGAGTGACACTATTTGAAAGGATTATAATGAGTAGGAGATGTGGCCTTGTTGGAGTAGGTGTATCACAGAGGGTGGGCTTTGAGGTTTCAGAAGCCCATACCAGGCCCAGTCTCTCTCTCCCCTCCCCCAGCCCCCAGCTTGTGGATCAGGATGTAGCTCTCAGCTCCTTCTCCAGCACCATGTCTGCCTGCATGCTGCCATGCTCCCTGCCATGATGACAATAGACTAAGCCTCTGAAACTGTAAGCAAGCCCCCAATTAAATGCTTTCCTTTATAAAAGTTGTCTTGGTTGTGATGTCTCTTCACAGTAATAAAAAATAACTAAGACAGTGTTATAGTAAAAAATAAATTTTACTTTTTAGAAATATACACAGAGCAATGGACGAAGACCCTTTGGTATTTCAGCCTTAATTGTAGGCTTTGATGATGACGGTATTCCAAGATTGTATCAGACAGATCCCTCTGGTACTTACCATGCTTGGAAGGTGAGTAATGAATTTGTTCATTTTTCATAGAAGTTTTTGGATAAATGCATTAATTTATTGCAAAATTGAAATAAATGTAAATATTTTATTGCTTTCAGGGACATGATAGAATTATGTTGCATTAAAATATTGACTATGACACAGACGATAGATTGTAGCTTCTCAGAAATGATGGTTTCAGATAGTAAAAGACCTTGGTTTAAACCAGTGATGGTGGTGCATGCCTGTAATGCCAGCTTTTAGGAAGCTGGGGACAGATAATTGGTAAGCATTCAAGGGTAGCCAGGGTTGCATAGTGAGTTTCAGGTCAGCCTGAGTGAGATTTTGTCTCAGAAAAACAAAACAAAACAACAAAGCCCTAAAGAGATGAATTAAAACCACACTGAAGTTTGAGTTCTATTAACATTATCACACTTGAGTATCACTGGACTCTCTTCATATTTATCCTTCCTTACCCTTCCTGTTTCTTCCCACCCCTAGTTAGCAACCCCACTTTCATGTTTGGGGGGCAGGGGAGTGTAACATTTGTTTTTCTGAGTCTGGTTTCCATAGTGAAATGTTTTATTTGTCCACTATTGTTTTTAATATATATGTATTTTATTTATTCATTTTTATGTGTATGGATATTTGTCTGCATGTATGTCTGTGTGCTCTATGCATGCCCAGTGCTCTCAGAGGCAGAAGAGGGCATCAGATCCTCTGCAACTGCTGTGAGCCATCATGTGGGCTCGCTCTTAACTTTGGAGTCGTCTCTCCAATGCCACGTCCTCCGTCCTAGGAGTCAGACAACCGTAGCCTCTGATACGTATCATGTGTTAGTATACAGTAGTAATCTTCATACAGTAAGTAGAATTGTTTTTCTGGGTAAGTTATTCTTGTTTCAGTACCCAACTACCGCCCTCCTCAATGTGTACTCATCAAACACAAAGGCCCAGAGACAGAAGTAGGAGTTTCCAGCAGTGAGTTTCCATAAACTGCCATGGATAAGAATACGACTACAACTACAGAATGTAATATGAGTGATTTGAACTCAATTATTAAAAGCTAAGTATTCAGGCTTTAAATAATTTCACATTGAGTTTATATTATAAGGACTTAAAGCCAAATAAATGAATAGGGAAAACACTACCATGGTCTTTATTATCTGCATTAAGTAAATAATTTGTTTGAGAGCAGAGTATTTGCCTAGTATGCATGGAGTCCTGGGTTTGATTTCCAGAACCAGCTGTCTCAGCCCTCAGAAAATGGGTGCAGGAAGTCTAGACGTTCAAGCTCATCCTCAGCTATGTAGTAAGAGAAACAGTTATAAGAGCTAGCAAGAAATGAGCCTAAGCTAAGGCCAATCATTCATAACTAATAACAAGTCTGTGTCATGATTTGGGAGCTGGTTGGTGACACAAAAGAAAAAAGCCTGCCTAACTGTTTTCTAACTCAGAGACCAGTAAAGCAGCGGAGTATAATCTCACAGCCAAAATAAGAGTGCTCCTGCACACCTTTCCATCTGCCTAGGTAAGCTAGTTGTCAATATAAGGGTGCTTCTATCAGCTGCACACCTTTCCGTCTGCCTAGGTAAGCTAGTCATCAGAAGCTGTGGGTTTACCTATGAAAAATTCTGGTATTTCATCCTGCCAGTCAGAAATCTTTTGACCTGTACTTTCTTTTTAAAATTTTTATTACATTTATTTATTTATTTGTGTATACGTGGGGTAAATATGTGGAGATTACAGGTCAGCCTTCAGGAGTCAGTTCTCACCTTCTATTTTCTGGGTCCTGAGGATCAAACTCAGGTTTTTCAGGCTTGGCAGCAAGTGCCTGTCCCTGAAGAGCCCTCTCACCGGCCCTTACTTGGTTGCTGTGTCTTCCAATCATTGTCCTCAACAAAGCCAGTGGTTCTAGGGTCAGTCTTGAAATATTTTTGGGCTTGCTCTCTTCTGTTTGCAGTTATCTTTACATCATTACTGTCCATTCTAACGTAACACAGTAGTTTCAAGTGTGCATACATGTTTTTCGTTTTAGTTTGTCTAATGTCTGAGGACATCCAGAAAAGATGTTTTGTCTCCCGTTAGTTAGGAAAATGACAGAATTTTCAAATTGTTTGAAACTTCACCAATGATGTGGATTTGAAGTATACTCTTTTCTGGTGTCTACCAGAGTCCAATGGCAGTCTCAGCTCTAGTTCAGTGAGCTTATGTTCTCTAAAGAAACATTCTCCACACACACCTTGGGAACTTGTGCTCAGCATCAAACAAGGTTTGATTTGGATTTATTAGAGTGACTTGCAGACTGTGGTCCAGGTAATCCAACAACGGCTGTCTACCAACAGAAAGTCCAAGAATCCAGTCGTTGTTCACTCTACAAGAATGGATGTCTCCACGATCTTCAGTATATGCCAGGGTCCTGAGGAAGCAGGCTCCAGTACCAGTGAAAGAATAGGTTTGCCCGCGAGAGTGAGGGCCAGCAAGCACAGAGTAAGAGCTCCCTTCTTCCATGGCCTTTATATAGACGGCCACAGAAAGATGTGGCCTACACGCCAACAAGGGGGTCTTCACACTTCAGATGATTTAATTAAAAAAAACCCTGACAGGTGTCTCCAGCCACTTGGGTTTTAGTTAATTCTAGACGTAGTCAAGTTGAGCAGAGTAGCCATCACAATGGTTGAAGTGACACATGGGTCTCCTCACTGATGCAGTGTCTTCTCTGGAGTATCCATGCCGTTGGGCCTAACCTGAGTCTGAACAGGAAGGAACAATCAGATATGTCCAGACTGCAAAATCGTCTGCTCATGCTATTGAAAGACAGAATAAACACAGGGAGAACTTTCTAATTTAAAGGAATCAAAAAAGGTGAATGTGAACCATAATTGTTGACAGCATTCTGGATGGGGAAAAATAGACTCAAAGGGCATTTTGGAGAGATATATTATTAGATAACACTGTGACATTTCCTGGATGTGTTAGGTATAATGTAGTCAAATAGGACTATCTAGGCCTGGTAAATGGCTCAGGAGGTAAAGATGCTTGCTGCCAAGTCTCATGATATGATCTAAGTTAAATTTACAGGACCCACCTGTTGGAAGAAAGCCAACTCCTTCAAGTTGTCCTCTGACCTCCACCCCCAACACAGATTCATACCCACACAATAAATAAATTAATGTAAATTTTTTAAAAGAATATTCTTGTTAATGTGGTAGATGCTGAGTTACATAGAAATAAAATGTGGTAGCTATAACACAAATTGTGTGTGTGTGTGTGTGTGTGTGTGTGTGTGTGTGTGTGTAAATGGAGAAAAGCACAACACATATCTCAGTGTTAATAGTTCATGCATGGAGAGAAATAATATACTGTTAATTGTTCATTATATGTTCCTGTTCATAAGCTTTGAACCTTTGATGAGGAAGAAAGTGGCAATAGTTTTGTTTTTGTTTTTGGTGACTGTGAAGAGGAGCACAGAAACGGAGTAGTGGCTAGTTGAGAATACAGATGCAAGGGAACCCTTCACGCAGCATGTTTGGCAATGCTGTGGGTTTCTTCAACAACAAAACCGAGACCTATTCATCAAGACCTGTTCTGGGCACTGGGGGTAGAAGTCCCTAAAACAAAGCTGTTACATTCCAAGTGTTAGAGAAGGACAAGCCCATGTGGTGGTGTGTTAGGTGAGTTATGGACAACTCTATCCAGGGGACTTGCTATGATGGAACTTTAAAACAGATATGTATCAAGTCATTTCTATATACCAGTTGCTGGGCCTTAGAAGTCTAAAGTATTTAACCAAATCAGATATAAAGTATAAAGTGCAGTTCTCAAAATATGATCTGCAACCCCCAGTCCAGGAGGTAATAGTGATTTTCATAGACCTCCCCAACTTAATGTTTATGTAACTGTGTGCAGCATTCATCCCTGGACAAAGAGATCTGGTAGCCAGACATTCACTATGTCTGATCTCAGGACTGTTCCTGTGAGACTGTCAGCCCTCATGGAAATCCTGAGTTGAGGTCGATCTCTTTATCTCAGAAGGTCTCTTCAGATCTATTGTGCCTAGTCCAGAACTGCAGGATAATGATAAGATTCATTATGAGAGAAAGGATGTCTCAAAAGCTTGAGATATAGTACTGTATCTCAAGTAATAGAGTATAAAACTATTGCACCTTCCATGGTTAGCAAGGAAACCCGAGTGTCATGAACAAAAGACTGATAATCTGGAAAAGAAGACCCGGATGGGTAGAATGGAAAATGAATCTGAATTGGTGGGAGCCATTCTGGGTGTGTCCCTTGCTGTCTGAAAGTCTGATGTCACTCTGCTTGTACGTCACCGGTTTGACTGGCCACTCCAAGGAGAGTTGGCCAGCTCCAAATCACCCTGCCAGTTATCACGTTCAGTGTCCAGTGGGAGTTTTTATCTGGCAACAGCTGGCCATGCAGGGGTCTGTAGCCTCCATTAGCACAGCCTCCCACAATGCAGCCATGTACAGTGCAGCAGAGGCGTCCTACAACCTGGAGACTGGCATCACGGAGAGACACAGGCTCAAAAGCAAGCTTGCGCCTATTGGTAGGGAATCCAGAAGCCCTGGAATTAAGAGTTCTGTCATGGTGTCTGGAAACAGTGGTAAATCACAGCTGCATGGATGGAACTGCCTCTGGGTCAGGACAATGTGGCCTGAACTTTGTGATTTCATGACACCAGCAGGTATGTTACATGTAAGGAGTACAAGTCCTTATCAGGGCTACCCCACATTGTCTATCAAAGACCTTTTAGATCAGGATGACCACGAAGCTTGGCAAACTTATAACTAATTCTGTAGTTCAGAGGTAGGAGATAAATTTAGAGCAACCAATCCAAAGTGAATTGTTAAATGACTGTGCAACTACCTCCTGCTTCAAGAACAGATGGGTTCCGTAACTGAGTCTCTTCAGGCCTGCAAGCTGACTCAGTCTAATACCTGGACGTTGTGGTGTCATATCAATCCAGAAATATTAACGATACCTTCACTGCCAGATGTAAAT